GTCCCATGCGATGTAAGTGTGATGATCAAAGTTTAAGAGTTTTATGTGGTGATGCTAACTTAGATGTTGTCCCAATCACACTGAACCCAGAACTTCGAGAACTTGTACTGAAGAACAATCACATCAAAGGTATAATGGCTTCCTTCAGTGTTTACCATAACTTGGAGTATTTAGATGTTTCACATAATCAGCTAGTAGATCTAGGAGAATTTAACTTCAAGATGCAAAGTCATCTGGGATCTCTTATATTGAATAGAAATATGATATCCTTAATTCATAACAACTCATTTGCTGGTCTTCAACAATTAAAGGTGTTATATTTAAACGAAAACTTTCTAGAAGACATCCCACCAAGGGCTTTTGTGCATTTACCAAATCTGGAAACGCTGGATCTCTCGCAAAACAGAATCGCTACCATTTCGAATGATGCATTTCAGGTACTTGGAAAAATCAGGTCTCTGTTATTAAGAGACAACAAACTCAATTACATTCCTCGTATAGCATTCCGGGTCCTTCCTACTTTGATAAAGCTAGATTTTGGGTTAAATACCATAACCGAGATCCCTAAACGGGCATTTGCTTCTCTGAAACATCTTGAAGAACTCTCTTTAGATGGCTGTGGTCTTCGTAAAATTCATTCTGGTGGATTTCAACAGTTAAGCTCAGTTCTTGTTCTTAATCTTCACGATAACGAATTTCAACAAATTCCTACAGTCGTGCTGAATGATCTCCATCGCTTAGAAGAACTTAATATTGGACAAAATAAATTTCGAGAACTTGGACCATACTCCTTTCAAAGACTGAAATATTTAAGAGTTGTTAGAATTAGCGGCTCACCATTCTTCACTAGCATTCGTAAAGACGCTTTTCTTGGCAACATATATTTACAGGAACTTTTTATATCTCATAATAAACATTTAAACCACATTGAATCACAAACCTTTGATGACCTTCCCAACCTAAAATACGTAAGCCTTCGTGGAAACGCCTTCACTAAATTTGATCATGATTTACTCCCGTGGCATAATATTGACGTCTTAGACATAAGAGATAATCCATTAATTTGCAACTGTAAAATTCTGTGGTTAAGAAAGTTGTTAAGAAACAAAAATGTTTCTTCAGAAGCTCCCAGTAACGTAATGGACGTACATTGTGCAAGTCCTCCTGGATTGAAAAACGTTTTGCTTACAGAGGTCACGAAAGAAGACCTCGGGTGTTACGTAGAGAATAGAAGACAACAAATGATTATTGGCATTATCGTAGCTGCTGTCATAGCTTTAGGGGCTCTTATCTTTCTGGGTTTCTGCTATAGAGAGAAGCTTGCTGTAACTCTCAAGAATAAGTGGACCCCTGGGAGGAAGGAACCTCAGTACCAAAAAACAGCCTGCGTGGAGGAAGAAAACGCTGCTGTGCTACAAACGACAGCTCAGCAGTCGCTCAAGATGACGCCAACTACTGAGCTTTAGAAGCAAATTAAAAATTAAGAATAAAGTGCGCATTAGCCTTTTATCGAATTCCCGGCATAAGCTAATCTTTTTAAAACCAAAACTTCTTACACTTCCAGTTGTTTTAAGTTCTGTATCTAATGATGTAATTAAAAGTTAAATTAGCATTGAAAAGAACGTATTTGATCTATATATAATTACTGAAATCAGAAACAAACAATATATTATTAACAATTATGGATGATGGAATAAGATTATGTGTGAGAGCAAGTTAGGTTAAACAACAAGTGGCATCAGGTTAGTGTTAAGAAAAGTTATGTGTTACAGCGAAGATACGAAACTGGTGATACAAAGTAAGGAAAGCTAGAAGCATTTTGACCAACGCTTTCCAATTTCAGTTTTATCGTTACTTTATCTATATCTACAGGGTGTCACTACATCACCCCATCCTATAACATCACACAATAACACTTAGTAATGTGATTTGGGTGAAATCACTAAAATTGTCACAGTTGAATGAATGTGCTGAAGTACATATTTTGTGACTGAACCTTCAAAACTTATGTTGAACATATGTCGCACTCTCTACATTTACATTCAACAGCCCATGTTTCGTTCTTTTACAATAAACTATCACCATTTTGAACATTTTGTGATGTCGAATGATTACCGTCTTGCAAAATTTTGTAAAAAAAAAACAAAGATAATTTCTTTGTGAACATTTACATGATACTAATGTGTTGATGCTTTTTTGTAAGCATTCTCCAGAATAAGTACGACATTTGAAGTATTATTTTCTCTGTTAAGTCTAAAATATAAATCAAGCTGTAGATGGGAAAATATCCTTTCAAGTGTAGGATTTTCAGTTGGACAACATCAACTACATTCTTTCTCCCAATGAAAATTTTTTACCAGCAACCAACAGTGACATGTGGGCATAATGTTAAAATTAGAATTTATTGTATAACCATTCCATAAATAATATTATGATATCTGTTACTATTATATTCCCATTGAAAAGTATTGTTTTCAGGATTTATGAACACTCTAAATACAACTTAGATGTATTTTATATATCTTTATGTAGTAATAGTAATAGTTTAAGTTGACACACCTCTGTTGAATCGTAACTGTAATTTCCCAGTTTGATGTCATTCATAAGAACTGTACTGTTATTCTACTGATACAAGTTCCCAGTGTGAAGTAAATAAAAAACAACTAAAACATAATTTATCATTGCATGTTTCACTTCTTTTCAATTGAAATTAATTTTTACATGATTTTGTACCAAATATGCACATTAGATAATTGTATAACTAGTTTCTTATATCAATAAGAAACAAAAATTATACATGGGTATGCACACGTAATTATTCTTTGATATTGTATAAATATATATATATTAGTAAAGATGTATTCTTGGCCAACCCATCTCTTTCTTCTATATATGCCAGTATACGTGTGTTCTTGTATGGCCAACCACTCTCTTTCTTCGATATATATTAATACATATGTGTTCTTGTAGGGCCAACCCTTCTCTTTCTTCCATATATGTCAGTATACGTGTGCTCTTATATGGCCAACCAATCTCTTTTTTCTATATATGCCACTACACCTGTATTTTTTGTATGGCCAACTTTCTTGTTCTTCTATATATGTCAGTATACGTGTGTTCTTATATGGCCAACCAATCTCTTTTTTCTATACATGCCACTACACCTGTATTTTTTTGTATGGCCAACTTTCTTGTTCTTCTATATATGTCAGTATACGTGTGTTCTTGTATGGCCAACCACTCTCTTTCTTCTATATATATTAATATATATGGGTTCTTGTAGGGCCAACCCTTCTCTTTCTTCTATATATGTCAATATACATGTGTTCTTGTATGGCCAACCACTCTCTTTCTTCTCTATATATTAATACATATGTGTTCTTGAAGGACCAACCCTTCTCTTTCTTCTATATATGTCAGTATACATGTGTTCTTGGATAGCCAACCACTCTCTTTATTTTATATGTGTTAATACAAATGTGTTCTTGTAGGGCCAACCATTCTGTTTCTTCTAGATATGTTAGTACATTTGTATTCTTGTATGGCCAACCCTTCTCTTTCTTCTATATGTGTCAGTTCATATGTGTTCTTTTATGCTTCTCCGCTTTCTCTTCTATTCACATCAATATAAATACCTTCCTGTGTGGTCAACCTTTCTCTTCTATTCACATCAATATAAATACCTTCCTGTGTGGTCAACCTTTCTCTTCTATTCACATCAATATAAATACCTTCCTGTGTTGTCAACCTTTCTCTTCTATTCACATCAATATAAATACCTTCCTGTGTGGTCAACCTTTCTCTTCTATTCACATCAATATAAATACCTTCCTGTGTGGTCAACCTTTCTCTTCTATTCATATCAATATAAATACCTTCCTGTGTGGTCAACCTTTCTCTTCTATACATGTCAGTTCGTCTGTGTGCTTGTGTGCTCATTTCCTACCTTTTCTGTAGATGATACTTCATCTGTATTTCTATTTGCTCAACCCCTACCTAATACGCATGTCAGTACGCCCGTGGTTATTTATACTTCACCCTGGTCTCCTATACGTACCAATACCTTTTTGTTGCTATATGCTCAAACCATTTTTCTTATATTTATCTATAACAAAATGACGCATTGCAATAAAAAAGGTAAAAAATCAAAAGATAAAACTTAGGAGAATATTAAGTACAGTAATAACACTGAAACTAAATCGCGGATTAAACCAGTATATGAATAACAGATAACCAAATGTTTCAAGCCCACGTCCTGAATCCGTCTATACAAGTATAAGGAAGACAAAGTATCGCTAAATAAAAAGATATGTAGGGCTTGTTACTCAACTGGAAGAAAAGAACCAAACAAGATACGTATGAAATTAGACATATCACTTGATCGACAAATGATCACATAGCAGACTAAACTGTCTCGATTTTACATGGAGAATAAAATCACTACATTACTGGCTTCCCCACTTTATCTATCGAAACCTTGGTGTTTGAATAAAATCTCAGCTTTCATCATTATACCTTTCCCTTAGTTAACTTTAGAATACAACTTTTACGACTATTTTACAATAGAGTAACATTTTACGATTGGAAATTCTGGTTTTATTTGTTTTGCCAGCGAGGAAACCAGTAATATAGGGATTTTATTCTCCATGTAAAGTCGAGACAGCTTAGTCTGCTATGTGATCATTTGCTGATCAAGTGATGTGTCCATATCCATCCCTATTTTGTTTGGTTCCTTTTTTTCCAAGCTCAGTAGCCAGCCCTACCTAGCTTTCTTAGTTAATGATAATTTTTTTTCCTTATAATTGTTTGTTTACTTTTTTATAAGATGGCGTGCGTTGGTTACTAGGTTATAGAGTATATTCTAAAGCTCTATAAATCTTGCATAGAATAATAATACAATAGGTAGTCAAAGATCTTGAAGACTGTTTTGTTCTATCAAATGATGATAAAATTACAGTTACTGGTAGAACTAGATAGGCGCCAAGCCTGTTGAAGAAAGATGATGATGAATGAAAATAAGAAATCTCGGTTTTAGGTATTCACTGGTTTTCGACTTTGGGACGCTCTGAATAGCTGAAAAGTGGCACATACACCGGAGATAGAGCGACTATGTCAGATAGCTCGTCATATCTAGCTTATAAAGACCTGTAGAGAAAAAATCCAGATGTTTTTGTATTGAATTGGCAATTTCGTTCAATCAGTCTTGGTGTACTCTTCAATTCTGAAGGTCGACGACTATGGTTTGCTTTTCCTCATTGTCTGCACCGACTTACCCAATTCAAGCTTCTCATCTTCAATGCATTTTCTGATGTTATTCAGCCTATAGTGAGTCTCTGCCTGTATCTCACTCTTCATCGTTCGATTTCACCCATAATTAACTAAGGTTGAATAGTATGGTAAGCCAGCAATGTAATGATGTGCTTTCAGTTGTAGTTCATCTAATGAACTGGTTTGATTTATAGCTTTATATATGACAACGCTGTCTACTAGTAGTTGGGGAAAAATAAAAAAATTATAAACCATCAGAACTAATCAACTTTTAGAAACCGCACAAACCAAGAAAGAAGAACATCTCATGTTGATGTACTGTACCACACGGCAATCTAGACAAAGCCACGGAAAGTCAACAATGTAATATTACGAGCATTTCTCTCGCAATCTGGCTGTTGGCAATAGGTGAAATTCAGAACAGCAACTGAAATTATTTATCAGTATTAAAGTGGTAAGAAAAGGACTTCGTGAATCCTACTGAAGGTCAAGAAGACCTTGCTTAAGTCAAAATCATCTTAAAATACAGCAAAACTACAGTATGCCAATACATTTCACAAATGAGTTAACGCTCCATGCAAAGCCCTCTGCACACATGATCGACGAACTCACGCCTAAGTGGGTAAGAGTTGAACTATATATTGAGTGCAACATTATGGATTGAAACTGTTTTGACAGATTTTCAGTTATGATGTGGAGAGACAACGATACAAAGACTTCCTTATGCTTCCTATGGGGAGCATTTATTGCTCAGTAATATATTGACATACCATTCGACCCAGCTGTACGACCTATGACGAGTGTAATCGGATCACTTCTTATCGTGATGAACTATAAGAAAAAAAAAGTCCTGACTCAAATCTCAAATAAGTACCGTTAGAAATTTCCTGGATGCCTCCTGTGTCAAATCTTTAACTCCATGCAATATCATAAAACCTAAAGTTTATTATTAGCAGGTAGATTTATAATGGAAAACCCGAAGGAAGATTTATTTGTTGGAAAGACGTTTCAGTACATTTTCCATTAGATTATTCACTATAAACCCATTTTAAAATCATAAGACTTTTAGTTGAACAGATTGAGAAATGACTCAGAGTCTCTATAATATTGTATGTTGCCTAATCAGAATCATGTCCCACAGTAACTGTAATCAATGAATAAATGTTGGTGTTCCCAGAACCTACTTTAACTTCAGCTTTGTCGTTGCTTTGGATGGAAAATTATCTAAATATGAAATCTTGTCTTTTGAATTATTTGATATGTAAATACATTTCAAATCATGTAGCTCAAACCGTACTTCTTTGTCTATGTGCCAAACCCTCCCCAGTTTACATATATTCAAATACACCTTTGTTCGTTAAAGTCCAGGAATCGTTATTCTTTACGAAAACTTGTTTTTCGAATTTGAAAGCGCAATTATAGTCGAAATTATAAAGTCGAATTGTTTTGTTGTATTTCGTTGCTTAATACATAATAAATAGAACTTAAAGTCGATCGAGAAGATATATTGATTTTAGCAGGATGTATTCTTTACGGGGGGTCAGTAGGTCTGGAGAAACAACACATAATCACATTAATACGAAAAGGTTTGTAAGGTAGCTGAATGTAAGTAATTATTTATCTTCATTATTCTGCAAACCCATCTCAAGCGGACAACCGGTTTAGTTACAAACACTAAGGAATCCCAGTCCTTTGTCTCTTAAAGTACATGGGGGGGGGGCAAAAGGAGACAAAAGCCAGAATCGCTTAAATAACACACCCAATTATATATAAGAAGTGAGTGGGTGTATTCATTTATCTATTCGAGTGAGAAACTTATAAGTGTTAGTGTTAGGATACTAAAATCCTGATTTTCAAGGACATCAATGAAAAGTT